TGTGTAAGGAACCTTGTGTAAGGAACCTTGTGTAAGGAACCATGTGTAAGGAACCATGTGTAAGGAACCATGTGTAAGGAACCATGTGTAAGGAACCAAGTGTAAGGAACCATGTGTAAGGAACCATGTGTAAGGAACCATGTGTAAGGAACCATGTGTAAGGAACCTTGTGAAAGGAACCATGTGTAAGGAACCATGTGTAAGGAACCTTGTGTAAGGAACCTTGTGTAAGGAACCATGTGTAAGGAACCATGTGTTGTAAAACAGAAGGTAGAGATGATCCGACTGTGGAACCGCTTTGTCCGTCTGCCAGAAGACAGAATTACACTGAAGATTTTTAACTGGGACAGAAGTCACAGACATCCCTGGTAACTTTAAGGAAAATGTTAAATGATATCTATGAGAAAGAATGGAAAGTTAAAGTTTTGAAGAAAACCAAGCTCAGAACTTATGTCCAGTTTAAGAACTGTTTTTCCACAGAAATGTATTTAAAATCTAACCTGAGAAAAGGGCAGAGGTCTCTGTGCTCAGCTCAGAGCAGGAGTGCTGCCCCTTGAGGCTGAGGTGGGGCGTTACAAGGGGGTTCCACTGGATGGTCGACTGTGTGCTCTGTGGTGCTCTGTGTGACTCTGTGTGCTCTGTGTGACTCTGTGTGCTCTGTGTGACTCTGTGTGCTCTGTGTGACTCTGTGTGACTCTGTGTGACTCTGTGTGTCTCTGTGTGACTCTGCGTGACTCTGTGTGCTCTGTGTGACTCTGTGTCCTCTGTGTGACTCTGTGTGACTCTGTGTGCTCTGTGTGACTCTGTGTGACTCTGTGTTCTCTGTGTGCTCTGTGTGACTCTGTGTGCTCTGTGTGCTCTGTGTGACTCTGTGTGACTCTGTGTGACTCTGTGTGACTCTGTGTGCTCTGTGTCCTCTGTGTGACCCTGTGTGACTCTGTGTACTCTGTGTGCTCTGTGTGCTCTGTGTGACTCTGTGTGACTCTGTGTGCTCTGTGTGACTCTGTGTGTCTCTGTGTGTCTCTGTGTGACTCTGCGTGACTCTGTGTGACTCTGTGTCCTCTGTGTCCTCTGTGTGACCCTGTGTGACTCTGTGTACTCTGTGTGCTCTGTGTGCTCTGTGTGACTCTGTGTGACTCTGTGTGCTCTGTCTGACTCTGTGTGCTCTGTCTGACTCTGTGTGACTCTGTGTGACTCTGCGTGACTCTGTGTGACTCTGTGTGACCCTGTGTGACTCTGTGTGCTCTGTGTGACTCTGTGTGCTCTGTCTGACTCTGTGTGACTCTGTGTGACTCTGTGTGCTCTGTGTGACTCTGTGTGACTCTGTGTGCTCTGTGTGACTCTGTGTGCTCTGTCTGACTCTGTGTGACTCTGTGTGACTCTGTGTGCTCTGTGTGACTCTGTGTGACTCTGTGTGCTCTGTGTGACTCTGTGTGCTCTGTGTGACTCTGTGTGCTCTGTGTGACTCTGTGTGCTCTGTGTGACTCTGTGTGACTCTGTGTGCTCTGTGTGACTCTGTGTGCTCTGTGTGACTCTGTGTGCTCTGTGTGACTCTGTGTGCTCTGTGTGACTCTGTGTGCTCTGTGTGACTCTGTGTGCTCTGTCTGACTCTGTGTGCTCTGTCTGACTCTGTGTGCTCTGTCTGACTCTGTGTGACTCTGTGTGACTCTGTGTGCTCTGTGTGACTCTGTGTTTTTGTTTTACTGTCCTATGTACAATGACCTAAGAATGGTATTGTTCACAAAGATTCAATGTAAAAATCCTGACTTGTTTTGTCTTTCTGACTGTGACAGACTGTGTTGGATATTTGAAAATGAATTTTTTGCAGTGGCAAACTTTGTCGAAAAGGCCTGGACTCTGAGACAAAGGACTTTATATCAGAGAGACAGTACTGTCTTTGTCCACAGGTGTGGCTGTATCTTCCTTTTGTTGATAGTGTCATATAAGCCCATGAGGCTGGGCACATACTGTGTGTGTATGACACTTAAATAAAATATTCATTCATTCATTCATTATATCAAGTAGCAGGAGAGAATCAACAATTTATATCAACAGGAGCATCAGCAGGGGAGAAATTGGTTTGGACATTACAAATGAGCAATGGGATAATGTATGTGAGACAGCCTTGTCAACCACCAGCTCTGCCGACTGGCGCGAATTTACAGTGCCTTGCGAAAGTATTCGGCCCCCTTGAACCTTTCAACATTTCGCCACATTTCAGGCTTCAAACATAAAGATATAACATTTAAATTTTTTGTCATGAATCAACAACAAGTGGGACAAAATCGTGAAGTGGAACAAAATTTATTGGATAATTTAAACTTTTTTAACAAATAAAAAACTGAAAAGTGGGGTGTGCAATATTATTGGGCCCCTTTACTTTCAGTGCAGCAAACTCAGTCCAGAAGTTCAGTGAGGATCTTTGAATGATCCAATGTTGTCCTAAATGACTGATGATGATAAATAGAATGCTCCTGTGTGTAATCAAGTCTCCGTATAAATGCACCTGCTCTTTGATAGTCTCAGGGTTCTGTTTAAAGCGCAGAGAGAACCATGAAGACAAAGGAACACACCAGACAGGTCCGAGATACTGTTGTGGAGAAGTTTAAAGCCGGATTTGGATACAAAAAGATTTCCCAAGCTTTAAACATCTCAAGGAGCACTGTGCAAGCAATTATATTGAAATGGAAGGAGTATCAGACCACTGCAAATCTACCAAGACCCGGCCGTCCCTCCAAACTTTCATCTCAAACAAGGAGAAGACTGATCAGAGATGCAGCCAAGAGGCCCATGATCGCTCTGGATGAACTGCAGATAACTACAGCTGAGGTGGGAGAGTCTGTCCATAGGACAACAATCAGTCGTGCACTGCACAAATCTGGCCTTTATGGAAGAGTGGCAAGAAGAAAGCCATTTCTCAAAGATATCCATAAAAAGTCTGGTTTAAAGTTTGCCACAAGCCACCTGGGAGACACACCAAACATGTGGAAGAAGGTGCTCTGGTCAGATGAAACCAAAATCAAACTTTTTGGCCACAATGCAAAACGATATGTTTGGCGTAAAAGCAACACAGCTCATCACCCTGAACACACCATCCCCACTGTCAAACATGGTGGTGGCAGCATCATGCTTTGGGCCTGCTTTTCTTCAGCAGGGACAGGGAAGATGGTTAAAATTGATGGGAAGATGGATGGAGCCAAATACAGGACCATTCTGGAAGAAAACCTGTTGGAGTCTGCAAAAGACCTGAGACTGGGACGGAGATTTATCTTCCAACAGGACAATGATCCAAAACATAAAGCCAAATCTACAATGGAATGGTTCACAAATAGACGTATCCAGGTGTTAGAATGGCCAAGTCAAAGTCCAGACCTGAATCCAATCCAGAATCTGTGGAAAGAGCTGAAGACTGCTTTTGCAAGGAAGAATGGGCAAGAATTCCAGTCTCTCGATGTGCAAAACTGATAAAGACATACCCCAAGCGACTTGCAGCTGTAATTGCAGCAAAAGGTGGCGCTACAAAGTATTAGCGCAAGGGGCCGAATAATATTGCACGCCCCACTTTTCAGTTTTTTATTTGTTAAAAAAGTTTACATTTTGTTCCACATCACGATTGTGTCCCACTTGTCGTTGATTCTTGACAAAAAATTAAAATTTTATATCTTTATGTTTGAAGCCTGAAATGTGGCGAAATGTTGAAAGGTTCAAGGGGGCCGAATACTTTCGCAAGGCACTGTAGTTGGAAAAAGTTGATACGGTTTTTTATAACCCCCAAACAACAAATGACATGGAACCTGAAGAGTTCTTTATGCTGGAGAGGTTGTGGGGATAGGGAGGCCCATCACACTCATATATGTTGGTCCTGTACTAAGATAAAACCATTCTGGACTGATGTCAGATTAAAAATAGACCAAATAACTGGTGTCAAACTTAAACAAGAAATGATGACACTCTACATGGGAGACATACCCACAGGCTTGCCAAATAACACGAAATATTTAATCAACATTTTTATTGCATGTGCAAAAAAAGCAATCACCAGGAAATGGCTTCATTAGAAGATTGGATAAATCTAGTGGACGAAATTCATCAAATGGAGCTGACTTTTATGCTAAGGACACGGGCTAATATCTATTACTCCAAATGGGGTAAATGGTTGACATATTTTAATGCAGGCTCAGTGTTGTGACCTGTATGTAAGTATGGGTAAATATATATGTGTATGCATAATACTCTGACCCTGCTCTTGCTACATCTGTATGAAAATATTTATTGATGTTCAGTGAAACTTCTTCATGCTGACTGTATTTTGTCTATTGTTCTTGTTCTGTTCATAAAAAATGTTCAATAAAACTTTAGTTTGAAAAATAAAAAAATTGTCCACTCACCTTTGGCTCTCCGTGGGCGGTTATCCCTCTCTAAGCTCGGGTCCTCTACCAGAGGCCTGGGAGCCTGAGGGTTCAGTATCTTTGCTGTTCCTAGCACTGCACATTTCTGGACCCAGATGTCCGAGGTTGTTCCAGGGATCCGCTGTAACCTCTTCTAGCTTCGGGGTCACTGCCCCGAGTGCACCGATCACCACGGGCACTACTGTGACCTTTACCCTCCAGGCCCTCTCACTACTGTGACCTTTACCCTCCAGGCCCTCTCACTACTGTGACCTTTACCCTCCAGGCCCTCTCACTACTGTGACCTTTACCCTCCAGGCCCTCTCACTACTGTGACCTTTACCCTCCAGGCCCTCTCACTACTGTGACCTTTACCCTCCAGGCCCTCTCACTACTGTGACCTTTACCCTCCAGGCCCTCTCACTACTGTGACCTTTACCCTCCAGGCCCTCTCACTACTGTGACCTTTACCCTCCAGGCCCTCTCACTACTGTGACCTTTACCCTCCAGGCCCTCTCACTACTGTGACCTTTAACCTCCAGGCCCTCTCCAGCTCCTCTCTGAGACCTTGGTATTTCTCAAGCTTTTCATGTTCTTTTTTCCTGATGTTACCATCGCTTGGAATTGCCACGTCCACCACCACGGCTGTCCTCTGCCCTTTGTCCACCACCACGGCTGTCCTCTGCCCTTTGTCCACCACCACGGCTGTCCTCTGCCCTTTGTCCACCACCACGGCTGTCCTCTGCCCTTTGTCCACCACCACGGCTGTCCTCTGCCCTTTGTCCACCACCACGGCTGTCCTCTGCCCTTTGTCCACCACCACGGCTGTCCTCTGCCCTTTGTCCACCACCACGGCTGTCCTCTGCCCTTTGTCCACCACCACGGCTGTCCTCTGCCCTTTGTCCACCACCACAGCTGTCCTCTGCCCTTTGTCCACCACCACAGCTGTCCTCTGCCCTTTGTCCACCACCACGGCTGTCCTCTGCCCTTTGTCCACCACCACGGCTGTCCTCTGCCCTTTGTCCACCACCACGGCTGTCCTCTGCCCTTTGTCCACCACCACGGCTGTCCTCTGCCCTTTGTCCACCACCACGGCTGTCCTCTGCCCTTTGTCCACCACCACGGCTGTCCTCTGCCCTTTGTCCACCACCACGGCTGTCCTCTGCCCTTTGTCCACCACCACGGCTGTCCTCTGCCCTTTGTCCACCACCACGATGTCAGGTTGGTTCATAACCATTCGTTTGGTCTGTATCTGGAAGTCCCACAGGATCTTCGCTCATTCTCCACCACCTTTGGAGGAGTTTCTTAGACCTTGGGGTTTCCAGCCCATACTCTGCACAGATGTTTCTGTACACTAGGCAGCCACTTGGTTATGGCGTTCCATGTAGGCCTTCCCTGCCAGCATCTTGCACCCTGCAGTTATGTGTTGGATCGTCTCAGGTGCCTCTTTGCACAACCGACACCTTGGGTCTTGTCTGGTGTGGTATATCTGGGCCTCTATCGCTCTGGTGCTCAGTGCCTGTTCCTGTGCAGCCATGATGAGTGCCTCTGTGCTGTCCTGTAGGCCAGCCCTTTCTAGTCATTGGTAGGACTTCTTGAGATCAGCCACTTCTGTTATGCTCCGGTGGTACATGCCGTGTAGGGGCTTGTTCTCCCATGATGGGCTCTCCTCCAGCACCTCCTCATCTCGCCACTGCCTGAGACATTCACTGAGTACGTCATCCGTTTTGGCCTTCTCCATGATGTAGTTCTGGAGTTTGGATGTTTGGTCCTGGACAGTGGCTCTCACACTCACTAGTCCTCGGCCTCCTTCTTTACGGCTTATGTACAGTCTCAGGGTGCTGGATTTGGGATGGTTCATCCGGCTACTCAGAGTGGGAAGGCGGGTGTTGTAGGTCGGTGCCGGTGACGTCAAACGGGTTTGCGTCGAACGGGCAGGTTGTAGTTTGGCGAAGAATGCGATAGTAAAGTAATCCGGTCTGGTTCTATCAAGAAACTGAAGCCAGAGCAAGAGGAATGTTTAGCAAATGTAATCGCTTGTCAAGATTGTGGCGCTGCTCCCCACGGGCTCCGTTAGCAGCAAAGGAGATGGCTAAAGCTAGGCTAAATGCTAACAACACACTCGGGTGCATTACATACGTCATGGTAAACTCAGATCCAATCATTTCAATCTGCAAAAGGAGTTAGCCCCTCCCACCTGTTCACAGTCAATGGAGCACCTCTAGACCTTAGTATGAAATGTAACTTGTACTATGGTGTGGTACAACCAGGCTAGTGCTGACCACACTTAGAATGGGAACAAGAATCTACCAAAGATTTGAGCTCAAAGTTAAAATTGAACTTTTTGCTTCTGTCGTTATAAAAGAACTCATCAAAAGATATTGAAAATATTTGTGATGATGTCTCAAAATATTTGTTGTTGTACCCATAGACTGCATATAATGTTGTACCTAGTCTTTCTAATGTATGCCTTATTGAATGCATTTTGTTTTTGTTTGCTTTGTTATTTTATTTTTGTAATATTTTGAACAAAATTGCCGTCTCCTAACGAAAACTCTGTGTATTTGTATGTATATTGTAATAAAACAATAATTAAAAAAGATTTAAAAAAAAAAAGACGAACCCGCCTACTTCCGGGTTAGTCACGTGTCCGCGATGATGCGGAAGTGCTGCGTCGTCTCCACAAAACAAAACAAAGCGACTTTTCTCTCAGCTTCTCTCCACAATCACAGACCCGCCACAGACCCGCCACAGACCCCACGGACCCCACAGAGACCTTCCCCCGCGGAGTGAGCAGTTTGTGGGAGCTCAGACACAATGACGGCCGCGGTGTTCTTCGGTTGCACGTTCATCGCCTTCGGGCCCGCCATCGCCCTGTTCCTGTTCACCGTGTCCCGGGAGCCGCTAAGGGTCATCTTCCTGATCGCAGGGTGAGTCTGGACCTGGATCTGGGTCTAGACCTGGGTCTGGAGCGGGATCATGAGAAGCCCTCTGTTGATTTCAGTCATAGCTTAACTCTTAACAGTCTGTTGTGTGCACCTGGAGCACTGTAAATAGTGTGTGTGTGTGTGTGAGTAATAGAGTATACAGTAAACTGAACACATTTATGTAGATTTATATTTATGTCTTTGATCTTATTCTGATTTAACGTGTTTGCACCGAGAGCCAAAGACATCTCTTCGTTTGTGATTCTGAGATGCTGTCTCTCTCAGGGCCTTCTTCTGGCTGGTGTCCCTGCTGCTGTCCTCTTTGGTCTGGTTCGTCTCGGTTCAGATCAGTGACTGTGTGTGTGTGTGTGTCTCAGGGCCTTCTTCTGGCTGGTGTCCCTGCTGCTGTCCTCTTTGGTCTGGTTCGTCTCGGTTCAGATCAGTGACTGTGTGTGTGTGTGTGTCTCAGGGCCTTCTTCTGGCTGGTGTCCCTGCTGCTGTCCTCTTTGGTCTGGTTCGTCTCGGTTCAGATCAGTGACTGTGTGTGTGTGTGTGTCTCAGGGCCTTCTTCTGGCTGGTGTCCCTGCTGCTGTCCTCTTTGGTCTGGTTCGTCTCGGTTCAGATCAGTGACTGTGTGTGTGTGTGTGTCTCAGGGCCTTCTTCTGGCTGGTGTCCCTGCTGCTGTCCTCTTTGGTCTGGTTCGTCTCGGTTCAGATCAGTGACTGTGTGTGTGTGTGTGTCTCAGGGCCTTCTTCTGGCTGGTGTCCCTGCTGCTGTCCTCTTTGGTCTGGTTCGTCTCGGTTCAGATCAGTGACTGTGTGTGTGTGTGTGTCTCAGGGCCTTCTTCTGGCTGGTGTCCCTGCTGCTGTCCTCTTTGGTCTGGTTCGTCTCGGTTCAGATCAGTGACTGTGTGTGTGTGTGTGTCTCAGGGCCTTCTTCTGGCTGGTGTCCCTGCTGCTGTCCTCTTTGGTCTGGTTCGTCTCGGTTCAGATCAGTGACTGTGTGTGTGTGTGTGTGTCTCAGGGCCTTCTTCTGGCTGGTGTCCCTGCTGCTGTCCTCTTTGGTCTGGTTCGTCTCGGTTCAGATCAGTGACTGTGTGTGTGTGTGTGTCTCAGGGCCTTCTTCTGGCTGGTGTCCCTGCTGCTGTCCTCTTTGGTCTGGTTCGTCTCGGTTCAGATCAGTGACTGTGTGTGTGTGTGTGTCTCAGGGCCTTCTTCTGGCTGGTGTCCCTGCTGCTGTCCTCTTTGGTCTGGTTCGTCTCGGTTCAGATCAGTGACTGTGTGTGTGTGTGTGTCTCAGGGCCTTCTTCTGGCTGGTGTCCCTGCTGCTGTCCTCTTTGGTCTGGTTCGTCTCGGTTCAGATCAGTGACTGTGTGTGTGTGTGTGTGTCTCAGGGCCTTCTTCTGGCTGGTGTCCCTGCTGCTGTCCTCTTTGGTCTGGTTCGTCTCGGTTCAGATCAGTGACTGTGTGTGTGTGTGTGTGTCTCAGGGCCTTCTTCTGGCTGGTGTCCCTGCTGCTGTCCTCTTTGGTCTGGTTCGTCTCGGTTCAGATCAGTGACTGTGTGTGTGTGTGTGTCTCAGGGCCTTCTTCTGGCTGGTGTCCCTGCTGCTGTCCTCTTTGGTCTGGTTCGTCTCGGTTCAGATCAGTGACTGTGTGTGTGTGTGTGTCTCAGGGCCTTCTTCTGGCTGGTGTCCCTGCTGCTGTCCTCTTTGGTCTGGTTCGTCTCGGTTCAGATCAGTGACTGTGTGTGTGTGTGTGTCTCAGGGCCTTCTTCTGGCTGGTGTCCCTGCTGCTGTCCTCTTTGGTCTGGTTCGTCTCGGTTCAGATCAGTGACTGTGTGTGTGTGTGTGTGTCTCAGGGCCTTCTTCTGGCTGGTGTCCCTGCTGCTGTCCTCTTTGGTCTGGTTCGTCTCGGTTCAGATCAGTGACTGTGTGTGTGTGTGTGTCTCAGGGCCTTCTTCTGGCTGGTGTCCCTGCTGCTGTCCTCTTTGGTCTGGTTCGTCTCGGTTCAGATCAGTGACTGTGTGTGTGTGTGTGTCTCAGGGCCTTCTTCTGGCTGGTGTCCCTGCTGCTGTCCTCTTTGGTCTGGTTCGTCTCGGTTCAGATCAGTGACTGTGTGTGTGTGTGTGTCTCAGGGCCTTCTTCTGGCTGGTGTCCCTGCTGCTGTCCTCTTTGGTCTGGTTCGTCTCGGTTCAGATCAGTGACTGTGTGTGTGTGTGTGTCTCAGGGCCTTCTTCTGGCTGGTGTCCCTGCTGCTGTCCTCTTTGGTCTGGTTCGTCTCGGTTCAGATCAGTGACTGTGTGTGTGTGTGTGTCTCAGGGCCTTCTTCTGGCTGGTGTCCCTGCTGCTGTCCTCTTTGGTCTGGTTCGTCTCGGTTCAGATCAGTGACTGTGTGTGTGTGTGTGTCTCAGGGCCTTCTTCTGGCTGGTGTCCCTGCTGCTGTCCTCTTTGGTCTGGTTCGTCTCGGTTCAGATCAGTGACTGTGTGTGTGTGTGTGTCTCAGGGCCTTCTTCTGGCTGGTGTCCCTGCTGCTGTCCTCTTTGGTCTGGTTCGTCTCGGTTCAGATCAGTGACTGTGTGTGTGTGTGTGTCTCAGGGCCTTCTTCTGGCTGGTGTCCCTGCTGCTGTCCTCTTTGGTCTGGTTCGTCTCGGTTCAGATCAGTGACTGTGTGTGTGTGTGTGTCTCAGGGCCTTCTTCTGGCTGGTGTCCCTGCTGCTGTCCTCTTTGGTCTGGTTCGTCTCGGTTCAGATCAGTGACTGTGTGTGTGTGTGTGTCTCAGGGCCTTCTTCTGGCTGGTGTCCCTGCTGCTGTCCTCTTTGGTCTGGTTCGTCTCGGTTCAGATCAGTGACTGTGTGTGTGTGTGTGTGTGTCTCAGGGCCTTCTTCTGGCTGGTGTCCCTGCTGCTGTCCTCTTTGGTCTGGTTCGTCTCGGTTCAGATCAGTGACTGTGTGTGTGTGTGTGTCTCAGGGCCTTCTTCTGGCTGGTGTCCCTGCTGCTGTCCTCTTTGGTCTGGTTCGTCTCGGTTCAGATCAGTGACTGTGTGTGTGTGTGTGTCTCAGGGCCTTCTTCTGGCTGGTGTCCCTGCTGCTGTCCTCTTTGGTCTGGTTCGTCTCGGTTCAGATCAGTGACTGTGTGTGTGTGTGTGTCTCAGGGCCTTCTTCTGGCTGGTGTCCCTGCTGCTGTCCTCTTTGGTCTGGTTCGTCTCGGTTCAGATCAGTGACTGTGTGTGTGTGTGTGTCTCAGGGCCTTCTTCTGGCTGGTGTCCCTGCTGCTGTCCTCTTTGGTCTGGTTCGTCTCGGTTCAGATCAGTGACTGTGTGTGTGTGTGTGTCTCAGGGCCTTCTTCTGGCTGGTGTCCCTGCTGCTGTCCTCTTTGGTCTGGTTCGTCTCGGTTCAGATCAGTGATAAAAACAGTCGGTCGCAGCAGAAGGGGCTCCTCATCTTTGGAGTGGTGCTGTCTGTGCTGCTGCAGGAGGTCTTTAGATATGGGTACTACAGACTGCTCAAGTAAGACACACACAACACACACACACACACTACAGACTGCTCAAGTAAGACACACACAACACACACACACTACAGACTGCTCAAGTAAGACACACACAACACACACACACACACTACAGACTGCTCAAGTAAGACACACACAACACACACACACACACACTACAGACTGCTCAAGTAAGACACACACAACACACACACACACACTACAGACTGCTCAAGTAAGACACACACAACACACACACACTACAGACTGCTCAAGTAAGACACACACAACACACACACACACACACTACTACAGACTGCTCAAGTAAGACACACACACACACACACACACACACACTACAGACTGCTCAAGTAAGACACACACACACACACACACACACACACACACACACACAGACTGCTGCAAAGTAAGACACACACAACACACACACACACACACAGACTGCTCAAGTAAGACACACACACACACACACACACACACACTACAGACTGCTCAAGTAAGACACACACAACACACACACACACACACACACTACAGACTGCTCAAGTAAGACACACACAACACACACACACACACAACACTACAGACTGCTCAAGTAAGACACACACACAACACACACACACACACACACACACAACTACAGACTGCTCAAGTAAGACACACACAACACACACACACACACACACACACACACCTACAGACTGCTCAAGTAAGACACACACAACACACACACACACACACACACTACAGACTGCTCAAGTAAGACACACACAACACACACACACACACACTCTCAAAGACTGCTCAAGTAGACACACACAGACAAGTAAGACACACACACACACACACTACAGACTGCTCAAGTAAGACACACACAACACACACACACACACACACCTACAGACTGCTCAAGTAAGACACACAACAACACACACACACACACACTACAGACTGCTCAAGTAAGACACACACAACACACACACACACACACACACACAGACTGCTCAAGTAAGACACACACAACACACACACACACACACACTACAGACTGCTCAAGTAAACACACACACACACAACACACACACACACACATACAGACTGCTCAAGTAAGACACACACAACACACACACACACACACACTACAGACTGCTCAAGTAAGACACACACAACACACACACACACACACACTACAGACTGCTCAAGTAAGACACACAAACACACACACACACACTGCTCAAGTAACAACACTCACTCAAGTAAGACACACACACACACACACACACACACACACAGACTGCTCAAGTAAGACACACACAACACACACACACACACACTACAGACTGCTCAAGTAAGACACACACAACACACACACACACACTACAGAC